CTCATCACTGACACGTATGTTTCCAGAAAAGCGAATCCCGAGAATACGAAATCTTTCATTTTAGCAAGTTCTGATGGAACATGTTTTTGTTTAAAGAGATTTATCAAATCAGTTAATCCTGACACAAGCTTTTACTCTGACAGCTTTTTCACAACCGTAAGATTGTTGGAATCTTTAGCTGCAGAGGGTATGCGCTGGAACTGCGAAAAAATTTACACCAAAGGAAGCCCGCTGTGAACCAGACAGAGCCACCAGGAAAACGCCCGAAGGGATCATAAAAAATTAAAGTAAGAAATGATGATGCACTTGCTGCTGTTGCGTGGAATGACAGCGCTAATTTACATGACTTCCAATAAGCATGGAATAGAACCAACTGACGATGGTTTTAGGAAAATAGGAAGACTAACCATAGTAAAGCAATATAATGTTTGTATAGATGGGGTGATGTACTCTTACCTAGGCAGCTCATTATTTACAACACAAGCAATGGCTGCACTGTGAAACTTACTGTTAAAACAATGCTCCATGTGTAAAGGCAGTGAAAAGGAGGAGATACCAAGCAAACGCATCTGCCCCATACCCAACCCTAATCAGAGGGGAATTGGCGATCCATGCATCCCAGAAGGCTTTCCCAAATATGCTGCATGTCAGAGGTGTCGCAGAGAGGGATGCACAGCCAAGACAAGATTTCCATGCTCTGCCTGCAAGACATTTGTGATGGATGATTTCAAATATTCCACACAGTTTAGCTCACAAAAATGATATCTCTTCAAAACGAATGTTTATTTTGTGATAGTATAATTATGGTTTTGGACACAAATAAGTGATAATTAATTATGTTTTGTTACTTTCCGTTCCAAGATATATCACCAAACAAACTTTATTTTCACAAAATCTTCATATACTTCTTATAATTTAAGTACAATCATATATTTACTCTCCTTCAGGGTTGCCAAGCATGTATGTTTTCTCTCATTAATGAAGTGATTCCAGAAAGTAGCCTAGGTTGGAGAATCTCCTTTTCGCTTGTTTGTTTTTATCATCTCTAGTGTTTATTGGAAGTGGGATTATTTATTATCCTGAAAAGGCTTCTGATTTTTCCCTTATACCTCATATTTTGTCTAATAATAAAAGAAAAAAAAATGTGGCAAATAGTTGCGCAAAGTGCTTAGAAGTTTCCTTCATAAGCCTATTGTCATAAAACTTGAATATATTGCAAAAAATATCAAAATATATTTGCTTTCCTTTTGAGGATATCTTTCTACAACTTACTACTTATTATTTTATAATAAGTAGTATTTTCAACCTGCACAATATATATATATATATATATATATATATATATATATATATATATGTAATATATTTAATATATTTAACACACACACACATGTGTCTATATATATATATATATATATATATATATATATATATATATATATATATATATATATACACACTCAAATACATATACTATATATATATATATATATATATATATATATATATATATATATATATATATATATATATACATATATATATACATATATATATATATATATATATATATATATATATATATATATATATATATATATATATACATATATATGTATATATATATATATATATATATATATATATATATATATATATATATGTACATATATATATATATATATATATATATATATATATATATATATATATATATATATATGTACACACACATATATATATATATATATATATATATATATATATATATATATATATATATACATAAATGCATGCATACATAGAATGTTTATATAAAGATGTGTGTGTGTGTGTATATATGTACATTTATATATGTATATATGCACTATAGTTATCATATGGCAGAATGTACCTTGACGTAGTAAATTAATGTCGCACAGCATTATTCGTCCTTGTTCATGGGAATGTACCTTAATAATTCCAGGAATAGGCGTGATGGTTTACAGCGCTCATATACTAGGATAACATATATCACGGTGGATTGGTGCTTGTACTTTATCCCCGTCTTGTGTCTGTGTTTTATTGCTCTAGCTGCCTTAAGGTCTGTCGCATAAGAATTTTTATTCTAACCACAGTTACCAGCACCGCTAGAATACCCAGAAAATTTGCTGGAGCAGAGTTCAAAGAAGTAGCTTTACCGCTGTTATAATTCCAGCAGCCGGTTGTGGCATCCTTCTGTGTCAGTTTATTAAACTTTCCTTGTCACACGATTTACAAAGGGCATTGCGTGTGTGAAGAATGCCAGTGGCGTAGACACACCAGCTGATTCTATCAAAGGAAAACAAGCAGCTTTCTTATAAAGATAACACTTGACGATACATGTAGTGAGATGTGTTGCCTTCAAGTATTTCCATCACTTTTAGAAGATGAGATACATGACAAACTGATAATAATATTCGAATGAAATAAGGACTGCGTGAAAAGGGATATCAAATACATTTAAAAGTGTTATAATAAT